GTATGATAATATCTGTTTTGATAAAAAACAATATTTATAATATAATCGTATACATTATTTATCTATACTTAAATAGATGAGGCGGCGAGCGTTCCCTGAAAGCCCTAGAGTAATATCGCGCTTTTGATAACTGTGTGTCGCTGATTTAGCCACGATCTTTTTGTCTGCCCTTTTGTATACGGCTTTTAAAATAAATAAATATGATATTCTACCAATCGGCATGCATGTATGCCATTTATTTTTTAAATTATGGGCTCCGGAAAAAAATCAGGCCTCTTTCGTGTTGTCTGCCGGCATTTTAGCCACGAGAAAAATGTCTGCAAACAATTTTTCACGTTTCTTAATAATAAACAAAATCTATTTGGCGAGGGGTGTCTCACTCGGGTAAAAAATGTACACGCACTGCCAAAATAATCTTTCACTGTCAAGCGACTGCCAATGACTACGAAGAAGACTGCCTATGACTGCCATGTAATTATTATAGGCGACTGCCATAAGACTGCCAATGACTGCCAGCGACTGTCAAGAAAATGTACATGTAATTCCAATAGTGAGACACCCCTCGCTATTTGGTAATTATAAAGCTTGATTTTCATGCATCCGTTATACGTTGATACGTTCGTCCGACGGTGCTCTGATTGGTCATATCGTTTTCGCGCCACTTTTCATCCGTAAATATTTTACTTCGGCCCGTCAACGGACCCGTTCATACGATAACTGACGTTTTGACAATTTTTTGATAAACTTAATTTAACCCTATGATTTAACCCTTTGAATCAGAAGACTAAAGAAGGAGCATGATGCTATCCATGTATTCATGCATGGTGGGCGGAAAAAGCACTCTAGGGTGGGGATCCTTGACAGTTCTGTTTGACGATTCATTTGACACATTTGAATTTGATTTGAAATTTTATGGATTTGTCAGTCTTTACGGAGCTTATTTTGTGTTATTTATTATTTATTCTACTACTGATAGTTGTATAAAGGTAGTAAATCTAGATGGAAATTGTGTCAGAACTTAAATTAACAGTGACACTATTGCGATTTATCGAAAAAGACTGTAAAATAGTTATTTGTGTAGCATGCGATAGATCTCGGCGAAAATCGAGTGAAATAATGGAACATTTCGCTAGTAAGTGACTATATAATATACATACGTGTAGTAAACCGATCATTTATGAAATTCACTTAAATTAACTTATTATATATTTTTTCTTGCATTTTTGCTTTTATTTACTACTTGTCAAAGATTAGATGTCAAAGAATTTAGATACGTCAATTTGATTTACCAGCTTCAGTAGCGTATCGGATTTTTGTGTTAATAAATAATTATTATAACTTATCTATTTTTATTAGAATTATATATTTTTGTAACAATTTTAATAACTACCAACATTTATTCACAACGTAAAATAAAACAACATATTATTGAGTCTACCCCACGTCTACCCTACATCATAGTTTTACATTTTTTAAATAAAATTAGAACGGCACTGATAAACCGGAATTTAAGTCGGCCATATTTGAGGCCCATCGCGGTGGACCTAAGATTTTTGATATGCTCCTTCCTTAGTCTTCTTATTCAAAATCGTTATGGAAACGAAAATAGAAAATAACACCAACGTATATCCGATAAACGGAGGCATGAAAATGCAATAAATTTAAAAACTGCGTTATTTTCTAACCAATGAAAGTCTTTAAATTCTACCAATAAAATTAATATCGTATCAACGTATCGTCGGACAACGGATGCATGAAAATCAAGCTTAACTCGTGTACCTTATAATATTTTTAGTGTCACAATTTCACCCTTTCGATTGATCGCCCCCGCTTTAAGCCTGGCGAAGATTCGCGCTGGCAGACATCTATTTCATAATGGCAACACAAAAGGATACTTCATAAGAAAAATTAACCGTGTAACGATGATAAGGTTTTTTATGGCTACATAAGGCTCTTAGTGTGCGAACACAGTGCAAGCAGGTTTGCCGCTTACTGGTAGTCAGCGCCAATCTGGGCACCTATTCTTGACATCGTTCGCAACTTTGCGTATACGCATCACGTGTATTGTTATAAACAGGGTATCCCAGAAATAAGTGCAAGTATTTTTGAAGGGTGGTAGATCTCGATAAAAGAAACATATTTTCTCTTTATCGTTTTTCAAATAAGTCCAAAATAACGGAGTTATTTTACTTTGAAAATTTCCAAAAAAAATGATTTTTTGCTCAAATTTTGAGAACCTTCTTCATGTGCCTTCTCCTCATCGGAGGTTGGCGACCATCAATTGGAATTCCTCCCTGTCTTGAGCCAAACGGATAATTGCACTTGCCTCTCCTATATTAAACCATGGCACTGGCGCAAATTCCGCATGCAGGAAAACCGTTTACGCCCGATGCCTCGTCGTCCTTCAATCTTTCCCTCAACGATCAGCTGTAGGAAACTATATTTGTTATTTCGAAAAATATGACCAAAATATGCTGCTTTTCGTCGTTTTATTGTAGTCAATAGTTCTTGGTCCTTACATATTCTTTCCAATACTTCGAGATTTGTTTGAGAACCACTGGATCTTTTCTGGATTTTCTTTCTTATAAATTTAATCTACTACCTATGTTGCCATATTATCAAGAAATTATTTTTTTAAATAAAAACTAAAAAAAATTGCAAAAAAATTCCAAAAATATTTTCAAAAAATTCCGAATTTTCAAAAAAAAATATTTAGAAAAAAACCTCATAGGCGTGTTTCTGGGGTTGAACTATACTACCAGTTAAAATACTTGCACTTATTTCTGGGACACCCTGTATATGGTTACATAGTAGCGCCGCGCCGCGCCGCCTCGCGCTTATAACCTTGAAAAATTAAAGCGTGTTATCAAATCGGCTAGTTCACAGTGAAAGCAGGCAGGCACCGTCAACCAGCGTTCATCGGCGTTCTCGCTTTTACCGGAACGAAAATTTATTTATTTCTGCTTTTGCACGCGCCGACGGCGCACAGGGGGTATTAAGAACTAAAAGTTGGCCAAAATTATGTTTTATGATTTTTTTGCTTTTTTGCTAGTAATATTAATTATTAATTAGAGGAGAGGTTGCTAATATGGAACCCCATTTTGTTTTTCCTACACAATATTTTTTCCTCTACTCTGAAACCCTTTCCACCGATCAAATAGGGCCATTCTGTGCAAAACCAAGCAATTGGATGAGGATGCTAGAACAAGAAAGTAATTTGTATATTATAGACGATATTTGAGCGAGGATGGGTGTTAATAGGGTAAAGACTATTTCCTTTAAGAATCTATTTAAATCAATGTTTTTTTTGGCAGTGGCAAATATTGGCAAGATTTTTGTGCATATTCCAATGCTGGAGACTTTAAGCATTGAACGGATACTAATTTCCATGCGGAATATTGCCGAATAGTCTTACACCTTATAAAAATGCCACTGATTTTTTAAATATAAAACATTATAAAAAAATAGAATAGAAGGAAACGTTTCAAAATAAAAATATGGCATAAAACAGAACAGAGCCAACAAACAAAGCTGGCTCTGTATCCATCATGACAGTTATTATGAACAATTTGCAAAAAAAGCACTACAAACAATTCCACTATTTTTATAATCTTAGAAATATTCAGAATACACTCAAGATAATTCATACTTTTAACTGAAATATATTATTTATTTGATAGTCAACTTACGACTTAAAAAAGCTAATAACTAATAAACGTGCTTACATTTAGTATTTATAGATTTGTGTTCAGTTAAGATAAAAAATGAAAATAAAAAAAATAACACTTTTGGCCAGGTTTATAGACCAAAATACATCTATGTGCGGCCCCGGCAGTGGCCGGGCGCAGCGTTTGAATATGGTTTGGTTAGGTTAGGTAGTTAATCAGGTAAATTTCCTTTTAATTATCTACTTCCGAATCCTTCTCGCATCTCCGAAATAGCCATATACAATACACGTGATGCATATACGCAAAGTTACGCATCTGTGTATTGTTATACGGCTTTTTAGGAGATGCGAGATGCGAGCGATATTTGAAGATGCGAGTTGTCAAGAATAGGCCCCCGGAGACGGCGCTGGTTGCCGGAAAGCAGAAACCTGCCTCCACTATGTTCGTACCCATAGACTATAAAAACAGTCTATTATTACAAAATAAAAGTACGAGTCGTTTTACAAATCTTTTATTCGCCCAGTATAAAGTTTTTTCTTCTTTTTTTTAATCCAAGAATGTTTCACCGAGGCGCTTATTAGCACCGAATTAAATACTCCACACCTAAAATTCAGCACCGCGTAATTATCGGTTAAATATTTGAACGGCTGTTTATCTCAATAAACAAACACCTGTAATTTATTATTGATAAAACGAGAAAGATTGATGATAATACAGTTCGGCCAATAGGCGCATGCCAGAACTAACACGTTTCGTTCTTATCATTCATTCCAAGATATTTTATTTGGTTAGTGCCCGGTTCTGGAGGTGTTCTGTGATGATTTTGGCAGTATGAATGGGATCAATTACAATCACAATTTTGTACGTATACGCACCGTATGTATGATGAGTAAAAAGGGGGAGTTTCCTAAATATGACGTCTGATATAACAACCTGAAATTAATATTTTTGTTTTTTTTTTTAAGTAAAAAGAAAACATAACAGTCATATCGTTATATTTTAAGACTGGATAGCCGTGCAAATTTACGTATATCTATTTTTATATGCTGGCAATGATCAAGGTCGTGACACGTTTTTTCTTTATTTTTCCCGCCATTATTTAAAATCTGTGACGTACACAACTGCCATAAAAGCACTACTTTATTACGAACAATTTGCATCAATATTTATTCTATATGCGTCTAAATAATATTCGCAGACGTAAAATTCTATTTTTAGTTATCACTTTCTTTGGTATTACATGAAGATATATACATAAATTTAATCGTAATAAAATTATTTATCTGATTATTTCTATTTGTATATTATTTAATTTTAATTTTACTTTTGTAGGTTCAGAGTGTTATTCAACCCAATCAGCAGTCGGTCATACAGACGGCGGCCAATATCCAGCCTATGCTCAGCAAAGGGAACGTCATCCTAGTCACTAGCAAACCAAATTCTGTCATACAGACGACGCAAGGAAGCCTACAAACTCTAAGGGTAAGGTAATATGATGGTAATATGATCCTGCAATCAATGAATTCCGTAAAGAATACACGTGTAGGTATACAGGGTGGTCCCAATTGAATTCGGGAAACTTCGGTAGCATATTGTGCAGGTAAAAATAAGTGAAAAAGTTCGTGTACATTTATGTCCTTAAATGCTTGGTTTCGGAGATACAGGGCGTAGAAATTTCATTTATTTTTCCAAATATTTGAACTAACGTCGATATTTGGATGGAAATTTGTATCTGGGTGGTTTTTGACATGGGTTATTCTATTTCTATGCCAGTATGACTCCTACTTGTAGGGAGCGCCACCTACATGGTATTCAACTGATTTGAAGAGTAGTAACTTTTCGCCCGTACCTGTATTACACTACTGAGTGAAAAAAAAACTTTTCCGTCATGTTTTACGTAAAAAAAGCCTCTTGGTAAAAATCGCTACTATAGTCTATAAAATGAATAACTTTGAATTTTGACCGTTATTTTTTACCAACATTGCAAATATAAAATCCCCCTGTCAAAAAAGTTACTGATATTCTTTAAATTGAGTGCCTGAACGAATCAGATAGGTAACTCTTTTTACTTTTGTGAAATAGAAAAGGAAAATAATAAAACAAGTGACAGTTCTTCATTTTCTTGCAAAAATCAACACAAAATGTAATAATTGTCAAAAGTAAAACGTCATCAGCTTTCGACATTTCTAAATATCAGACGTATGTCGTCTCTAACAGAACAGCCTCGGAGCGAGATTTATGACGTCACGCTAGTTAGATACTACGGATTAATAAATATGTTGTAGAATACATGGAAAATATAATTATTCTTCGTATTTTTGGTTTGTATTTTAAAAATGATATAGTTTATATGAAATATACATAATATACAGTTAATAAATACAATATATATATACGATCTAATTTAACAAAAAACATTCAATATCTACTAATAGTGATGTATTATTATTTGCATTCACAAAATTTATATGTATATTTTGCAAGTATTAATGTTCGAAAAATTATATTTTCAAATAATACAATATCATAAAAAAAAGCGTCAGCGATGGCTATGAAATAAAGATCGCTGTCATTTTATACGTAAAATTATTCCAAAATTTTTGATTTTTTTGGGATTTATGTTAGGGAAAAACGCTAATTAAGTTTTCATTATTTTTTTGGTTTAAAAAAAACGTTTCGGCTAACATTATAGCCTTCATCAGTGTTAGAATCCAAAAATCATATGAAATATTCACAACCTTGTGTCGACATAATGTTTACTGAATTAATAAATTAATATAAACTTGTCAAAAGATGACCACATATTTTTTAAAATTATTATTCTTAACACTAAAACTATCTACATTGACTATGGAGTACGATTTCAGCCATAATCAATGTAATCAAAAATACAAGGAAGAATTATATTTTCCATGTATTCTCAACATATTTATTAATCCGTAGTATCTAACTAGCGTGACGTCATAAATCTCGCTCCGAGGCTGTTCTATTAGAGACGGCATTGCGTCAGCATGGCCGCAAGTTGCTAACCTAACAAAATTAACACTAGAAAAGTCCGCGGGAACTGTCAAATTCAAAGTTATTCGTTTCACAGACTATAGTAATGGTTCTCCAGATATTTGGAATCCAAATAGTCAATGCATGACATCATTGACAAATACAAAAGACAAAGGAAAAAGATTCAGTCTCTTTCAGAGACTTTGAGTCTTTTTGTTTTGTGTTTTGTATTTATAAACCAGGTGTCTTTGAGATTGATGGACGCCTTTTTAGGGTTCCGTACCCAAAGGGTAAAAACGGGAACCCTATGTCCGTCCGTCTGTCACAAATGTCTATCTTATGAACCGTTATAGCTAGACAGTTGAAATTTTTACAGATAATGTATCTATGTTGCCGCTATAAGAACAAATACTAAAAACAGAATTAAATAAATGTTTATAAATAAAAAAAAGTACTTTCACTAAACATTATCTTTTAAGTAAGAATTTTACATAGAACCTTTCAAGTCCTCGGTGGCCGCGTGGTTTAAAGCGTTAGGACTTTACGCTGCTATGACGTTGGAGCCGTAGTAAGGCAGGTTCGAATCCTAGTCAAGGCGACTTTTTTTAATCGTTTTTTTTAAATTTTTACATATTTTTACATATTTATTTTTACTTTTTACATATTTATTATTGATTAATACAATTTTTAGTAATGTGTTTCTTTATTTGTTTTTAAATTACTTATACGCGCATTCAAAATTTCAGCTAAATCGGAAAAAAAGTTGTCTTTCGACAAAATGAATATAATAGTACGGAACCCTTCGTGACCAATTTTTTACTTATTTTTACCTGTAGAATATGCTGCCGAACTTTCCCATAAGACCATTCGAACCACCCTGTATAATAATTTCGACGAAAAATAAAACAAAAGTTAGGATGACTAGCAGGATTACAAGGCCGAAAAAAAGACTTTTTTTATAAAAATATCCAGCGCGAATTGATGCATTCATTCGTACGTAAATTTATTTGAACACAAACCACATACTTACTCTGACGTCAGGCTTTTTTTTAAATACTTATTAAGCGATTATAAAACTTATATATGTATTTTTTATGTTATTAAAGCGACAGTTGTAAATTATTAGTTAGCCAAATAGGTGACGTCGTTACTGGGGGATTCGCCATTTTTTTTCTCGATGTAATTAAGTCAATGTTAATTATTTTGCCGGCTTGGGACTAACTACTAGTGTTAGCGCCTAAAACAGATAACATTTTTGAATTTAATTGATTGTGGTGATTTATCAGTGATTGTGTAAATTTCTGAACGATGCTTTATTTGATGGTTTATTGTTGTTGAGTTAAGAAAGTGATGTGTTTTGCAGTGGGAAAATTTGATTTTAAGAAGTTTTTTAGTGATTATTTTTAGTTACGATAGAAAAAAGGTAAGCGTTTATTACTGTACCTCTTTTAAATTACTGTAGCCAGTCAGAACTAACGGGCAAATTTTAAAATTTTGATAACCTTCGATTAAGCGCCAACTTTTTTTATGTAATAAATTTGAAATTTTGGCTATATATCTCAATTCTTGATTCCAAAAAAACCAAATTATTAGTATATAAATAACGATCTCAATAAAGTTTTCTTATGAAATACTTCTAATGAAATTTTCTTATTTAATGTTTGGCTTTATTGTTATTGGATTTTAAAATTAATTCAGTATTATACAGGGTTGTTCACTACATACCACACACACATTGTAGCTAAACGATTAGATTTTTACTAATTGTAAGTTTTGGGTTCGTTGAAGGACTATTAGAGCTACAATTTAAAAATATTTTTACAAGATACAGAGTGTCCCAAATAAGTAAAAAATATAGTTGTATTTTTTTAAATGGGACACCCTGTATATTGTATTTTTGGATTCTACGATTGAAATAAAGGTAAATTTGATTAAGGTTTATCATACTTAAACCTTACTGTTTTTGAAATATTTTCAATTTTATGAAATTGCAGTAAAATTTTTAAGGCTTCATTTTTCCAAGGGTATCAAAGTTTTTAATACTGAAGATTATTTATTGATCAGATATCGTGTTGCAATAATAAAAATTTTACTACCTTATATAGAGTGTCCAAAAATTCATATTAAATAATTACTACCTCTAAACGGCAATAACTTGTTTAATTTAAATGGAACACCCTATATATTTTACGTGAATCAGATGCACAATGTAATTGTCTATCAAATTGTATTATACCATTTTTTACCCATCTCTTCAAGTTTTCGTAGAAAATGCATTTTCTTATAATTTATACCTCATTTATCACTATACCCATGGAATATTGACATTTTAGATTATTTTTAAAGATGTAACAAATTTTCAAAGAGTACAGATATTAATATTGTCGATATAGTTCGCTTATTTCATTAAAAAATAAAAAAAACTGTTTAAATATTTTTTGTTAAAGAGGACCAATTAATATGATCCCAGTATTCAAACTACATTAATTGACTGTTTAAGTTGATTAATAATAATTGCCCCAAATAGTAAAAAATTGAATTTTGTGTGTATTAGACACTGTGCTAAAGAGTAACACTTTATAAATTTTATTTCATTTTTTGACGAATGCTTATTTATAAAAACAGAGACGTTCGTTTTCATATCTTATTATTATATTGATTTCTGAGCCAAATCTACATATATTTAGAACACTTTATTAATTAAAACTATTTAAAAGTATGTAATTAACTAACTTTTGGTCGGAAATAATGGTGGTATATTTTTTAATTGGTATACTCTTTTACAAAGATTTAAATAGTTTTTTTTTGTATACCAATGGGCTTGCAATATTTACCACCTGTACATTTTGTATGTTGCTTTAAAAAAAATCTGAAATGTCAATATTCCATGGGTATAGTAATAAATGAGGTCTAAATTATCCAGAAAATGCATTTTTTCGAAGATTTGAAGAGATGGGTAAAAATGGTATAATACAATTTGATGAACAATTACATTGTGCATATGTTCACGTAAAATACAGGTGTTCCATTTAAATTAAACATATTATTGCCGATTTAAAGCTAGCAATTATTTAATATAGAACTAGGACACTCTGTGGCTAAGGTAGTAATTTTTTTTTAATATTGCAACACAATGTCTGATCAATAAATAATCATTAATAAATATTTAGTATTAAAACTTTTGATACCACATGGAACAATGAGCAAAACACCCCCACTGCAATTTCATAAAATTGAAAAGAAGCTATTTCAAAAACGGCTGAGTTTAAGATGTGATAAACCGCAATCAGAACAGTGGCTATTTCAATCGTAGAATTGAAAAATATAATAATATACAGGGGGTTCCATTTTAAAAAATAAAACTAATGTGCGGGTTATTTGGGACACTCTGTATCTTGTAAATTACAGTTAGGTGCGCTCTATCAAGAAGCAAAACCTTAACAAAATCTGATCGTTAGCTAATACTCGTATGTGGTGAACAATCCTGTATTATGAAAAAAATACTAATTCTAATAAATTTAATTATCGTTAAGTGTCTTAAACTTTATAAACATAGAAAATATGAATTATTACAGGAAGTTATAATAAACAAATACAATCTATCCGGTGAAAGAATATACAGGGTCGCCGATTAGTGGGAGAAAGTCCAATATCGTCGTTGTTGTGGAAAATATGAAAAAAATTGTTGCAACCAATTGTTATTTTTCTGTGCAGAATTGGATTCAACATAAAATTCTACATATAGTACACTATTTTCATTTGAAGCACTATGGGTTGTTGCCATTTTATTTTATTAAAATTTTGTATAGAAACCCTATACCGGGTGCGTCTCAAAAGTGGCTCAACCCCTATAACTTTTATTTTTTCACATAAAAAACGAGATTTGGTATGTTAGTATATGACATAAATTAGGATTGATTGACGTATTCAATTGTTTTCGGTCACTTACATAAGTAGTGCAGTAGTGCGGCAGGCAGAAACATTAGAAGATCAAATCTTGATTATAAATTAGTGTTTTTACCACTCTAGATTGAAATTTAAAATACATTTTTTTAAAGCGAGAATGTCAAAAGTTGACATATGATATGTATTTCTATTCAAAGTGTCATTTTCTATCGAATAAAATAAAAAAATACGGAGGGTGCCATTTAAAAATCAAAAGCTGTAGCCATTTCTGGTGAAAGAGGAAGTGAACGATAACAATTGAATATGTCAATCAATCCTAATTTATGTCATATACTAACATACCAAATATCGTTTTTTTAAAAGCACTTAAGGTTTGTTATATGTGTAGTTAGAATATGAAACACCAAACCAAACCAAAAATTATGTTTGATCTTACTGGTTTCCCTCACATTTGAAAGGAAAGTCATTTCATAAATAAGCAGAAGGACATCGTATAGTACACACTATATTAATAATTCTTTTTTATCCTATACTTTGTTATATGTTAGTTGACGCATCACTAGGTATAAAATTTAGTACTGATTCCAAACCTATAGTTGTGGTTGTGACATATTCTGATGTGTTTCTGGCAATTTAAAATAAGATAATATTTAAACAAACATTTCTGGCTTTCCTGACAGGAGTGTGAACACAAATTTAATACAGGTATAATGTGGAGAATGTTCTGATTATTACAGTTTGCATGGATGATTTTTAATAAAGTATATTTAATGAGTTTTTGAGTATTTCTTTTTCCCTCAGAGGATTGTGTTCTAATCTTTATATATAAATTTTCATAAATTATATCTGCAAAATTTATTACCTTATAACTTTTTGCTAAAGACTTTGTAGTTGATACAGTTTAACAGTATATAAAAGAACTATTTAAATAAGATGTTTGAAAATATTATAGCTGTTTTTGCACACATCAATCCAATTTGTGATTAACTGTACTGAAATAAAACACAAACTTAAGAGAAATGGGGTGATCTATCAAATATAACATGAAACGCATCATCCTATTTCCAACTCTTCTATTAATTTCGCTTATAATACAACTATAATATTCAATAAATCTTGATAATTCTGAGTGAGACTCTCAGATATCCTCAAAACATAAAAACAAAATTCACTTCCTGTAGTTCTTACGTCCCTTTATCTGAAATATAAGAAATCATGGGGAGTTAATATTGTGGATTCTGTGAGAAAGTTTTAAATACCTTTAAGTAAAAATCTCTTCGGTAGTCTGCGGTTTAAAAATACCTCTTTATTCTCCCATTTAATATAATTTCATTAATCTTGTTTTTTTTATGAATTTATGACCCACCTAATAACCTAACTTTAATTCGTCAACTTGACAATCCTCAGCAATCCTGAAAATGTTATTCTTTACAATAGAAGTAAATTCATATTTCTGCCAGATTCGCTAACGCCATTATCTTATTTTCTCATTTTATAAAAAAGATTACCATATTCGTAACTATGTCGGCCATATTGAGGAACTTTTAAAAGAATGTGTGACTATAGTGTACGGTTAAATTTTTACGTTATGTTATTCATTTTAATTGTTATAGTTTTATATTTTTTTATTTTAGCTAAGAGGTGTCTCATCGTGATTTTTCTATTTCTCATTTAAATAGTACGGGAAATTTTTTTTCTTTTCCTTCCCCAATAAACCGAAGGGACCTGCTGACGCGGAGGCCATCTTACAGGAAGATACTCAACGATCTTGGCGGGGGTGAGATAGCTGGTATGTTATTTTATGCATGATTTGGGCGCTCTCCTTCTTTTCTCACGATCCTTAATCATAGTAGTTTGTTCTATAGTGGTAATATTATTTGATGGAAAACAAGTTGTTGCATATCGATGCGCATTGTTCGGTTTTTTAGAGGATATTTATATGAAAATGTACTTTTATAAAGTTATTTAAGGGAATTTTTTAGAGCTAAATGAGAGATAAGTTGTTTAATTTTTATAACAATTTTATGATTGATATGTCTGAGCCTTTCGCACGTAACAAAAAATATTTTTTTAATTATTATTACCGAGTCCCGAAAAAACCGGGAATTTCGAGTCCTCGATGCCTCAAAAGAACCGGGAATTCCCGGTACTTTCGTTACCGGGATTTCCCGGTTCTAAACCCCAACTGCAGCACTTGGTTTGGTATACTCTCGTCAGCCATTCGTTGTACATGGCCGTACCACTACAGTTGTTTTTCTTGTATTTCTTGTAGAATATTACCCTCTATCTTCATTTTTTCATGTATTCTCTCGTTCCTAGTTCTGTCTAAACAGGAGATTCGAGCTGATCTTCGCCAGAAGTCCATTTAGGCCGACAACTTCTTTTTATGACCGCATTTTCAAGCTTCAGAAGAGAGTTGTTCGATATTTACTGGGACTAAACAGCAGAACTCATTCCCAGGACTTTTTTAAAAAATTAAAAATATTAACTCTTCCTTCCATATTTATATTTGAATCCGTTTGTCTAATACATAAGATGATAATCAGCTTCTCAAGATAGGCCATCACACTTATCCACTCAGGAATCTGCGGAGCAAATTTTTATTCTACCTACCCTCCCACGCTCAGAGTAGTTTAAAAGAATTTAATAGTTATACAACTTCGAAAAAAATTGCGACAATACCGCCATTTGAAATCAAGATCCAGGTAACATATATTTTGTCTTCAAAATCTCGGCATATAGCTGAATTGCCGCAAATGCTTATGTTATCTGAGCAAGGTCTTTTTCTACGCTGTTATGATTGACTTATATTTTTGATAATCGAATTTGTAACACAATCTTGTAAACACTGGTCTAATATTTGCTATTACTACAGGGTGAGTTTATCCTTACGTGACTGCTTGCTCTGTGGTATTCGGGTAAACTACTGGAGGTATGTGAGTCGGTTAACGTGGGAGCCCACCGTAATTTTCGGTTTGTGTAATGTGGTCAGAAATATGCGCCAATATTGACATTTTAGATTGTTTTTTAATAGCAACAATTGTATTAAAATGTACAGGCTTAGTAATATTTTGTTTTAATATTTTTGTTCAAATAACACCATGTATGGTAATGTCAGTATGAAAAAATACTATGTAAATCTTTATAAAAGAAGTATACATTAATTAAATCATACCACCATTATTTCCGGCCCAAAATTACTAATTAATTAAAGTACTTCTTTGTGGTTTGTAATAAATTATTCTAAAAGAATGTGATTTGTATCAGAAATCAACATAATAATTAAAGTTATTTATAAGTTATAACAATGAACCCGTCCTCTGTTGTTGATAATCCGCATTTGTCAAAAATGAAATATCATTTTAAGGTGTATTTAACCACGACTGTCTTCATTTACACATACAAAATTTCAGTTTTTTTAGTATTTGGGGCAATTATCCTTATTGATCAACGCAGTCAATTAATGTAGTTTGAATACTGGAATTCATATTAATTGCATCCCCTTCCGCAACCATATTCAATAACAGTTTTTTAATAATTATGACATTACCCGATCTATATCGACAATATTCCCCGTATCTAAGTCACTCTTTAAAAATTTGGAATACATCTTTAAATAACTTCTAAATGTATAGTATTACACGTGCTCTCTTGATAATGAGGTTCTTAAATTACAAGAAAAGTGCATTTTCTACTAGAAAACTTTAAGAGATAGCTTTAATAAATGATATAATACAATTTGAAAGAAAATTAAAAAAAAAAAAAAAAAAAAAAAAAAAAAAAAAAAATACAGGATGTTCCATTTAAATTAAACTCCCAAATTATGCCAGGTAATAGTGGGTAGTAATTATTAACTGAGGAATTTTTTTGGACACTCTAAATAAGGTAGTATAATTCTTATAATTTTCAAACAATAAAAAAAAAAAAAAAAAAAAAAAAAAAAAAAAAAAAAATTAGTTAAAATTTTTATTACCCTCGAAGAAATGAAGCCTTTAAAATTTCTTACTCCAAATTTTTACAAAATTGAAAATATTCGAAAACGGCAAGTTTAAGTGTAAAAACTTAAGCAAAATTTACCTTTATTCCTTTCCTAGACACTAAAATGTATAATACTACAGGATGTTCCATTAAAAAAAATACAACTTGATATTTATTTATTTGGGACACCCTGTATCTTATAAAAATATTTTTAAATTGTAGCTGTAATAGTCCTTCAACGACCCCAAAACTTACAGTTTGTAAAAATCTAATCGTTTAGCTACAATACTCCGTGTCGTATGTGTTGAACAACCCTGTATAACCAGTATGCAAAATATTCAGATTTTGACTAATGTTTGTTTTTAATGTAACAAATAATTATTATATCTTTTCAATTCAAAACTCTTTGTAGATTTATTAATTACTTCAATTGAGGCTTTACTTTAATTTTAAAGTTTAACAGATTTATAAATTCTATAAGTGACTCTTACTAGACATTTTTATGTAAATATACCTTTATATTCGCTTAGTACTACCACTTATAGATACAATGTGCTATTTAGAACAGTTTTTTTAGTTCAAAAAAAAGTGATGTTCGTTCATCATCCGGCAGTTAAAAAATCGTTTCATCTTTATATTGCTGCAAGGTTGGTTTGATTATAAGTATTATTTTTGCATGATTTTTTTTATTACTAAAACTGAGATTGACTTCGTTGTGAAAAAGGGCTTACGATGTGATAATTTGCTTAGAACAAACACTTTTGTTAATAGTATGTGACATCGCCGAACTTTTTCACGAACCAATCGTGCTTGCATTAACATTTTGGAGTATATTTAGTGCATGATTTCTCTTCTAAGGTTATAATAATATATACTCAAATATAATTTTTTTTATTAAGTATATGAATTACAGAAGTTGATACACAGGAAAAGTATACCTTTTTAAATTAAAAGTACTCACCCAGTTTAGCTTTTAGAAGTTTTTTTAAAGGCTAAGGATTTCTTGAGTTTTTCTATGTATAGGGTGGTCGAAATTGGTCTGTTTTAACAAAGAAACCCTATTTCCTGACTAGATACAGCAAAACCGACACAGATGTCATGGGCTCGATTTCTGAGACACGTTTTAATGGCGTAAACCGCCTGTTGCTATTTTCACTGCCGACAGAGATATGGGGTCTTTTAAAAATGTTTTACCATTTTGAAAATTACCTATAACGTTTTTATTTCACGGAATAATAAAATTCTGTAAAAACGTTCTTAAGGCACTTTTTTAAGAATAATCCAGTGGCGGTCAGTTTTATCTATGCTTGCTCTTTTTGTCAGAAATAATAAAAAATATAATTTTTAAAATGGAAATCATAGTTGGCTATGAACTTAAAAAAGTGCTGGAGTTTAACCCTTTCCAACGATATAAAGTTATGGGTATCTGTGTCTAAGAATGAGAGAAATATTGGCGGGCCTTGATCTATTTGCCTAATAATTTTTTATCACAATTTAATATTCTATATTATTATTTATCAGCATAGCTAAAAACTTTTGAACCGGTAAATTAACATTCTATATTAGTATTAGTAATTACAATTGAAATCGATACAATAAACAAAGAACAAAACTAAAAGTATTTTTAACTGACGAATTTAGTTTTCTAAAAAAATCATCAAAGATGTTCAAACTGGGCACCTCTTTGTTGAATACACAATAAACATCTTTTGCGCAGAGTTATAACGATTTATTAGGTGAGCTGGTGTAATAAGTCCAAAAGCAATTTTTCTCTCATCCCAATGGTTTTTCCCTTATATATAAGGTCTTTTTTTAATTTCCCCCATAAAAAAGTCGAAATGAGTTAAATCACAGAACCTAGCAGGCTAAAGATATGGGTCCCCATGTTCCAATCCAAATCTCTTTAAATTCTCAATTAATAATAGTTCTGTTGTAACCCTGGCGTTTTAATTGTAATTAGTAATACTAATATAGAATGTTGATTTGCCTCTTCAAAAGTCTTTGCTTATGCAAAGAAATAATAATACAGAATATTAAATTGTAATAAAAGATAATTAGGCAACTCGGTCAACACAAAATCAAGGCCTGTTTCGATACAAATATAAAAAAAACTAATATTTGTCTCATTCTTAGAAATAAATACACATACCTTTATATCGTTGGAAAGGATTAAACGCCAGCATTTTTTTTAAGTTCATAGCCAGCTATGATTTCCATTTAAAAAATTATATTTTTTATTATTTCTGACAAAAAGAGCAAGTACCGAAAAAAACTGACTACGCCACTGGATTGTGCTTAAAAAAGTGCCTTAAGAACGATTTTACGGAATTTTATTATTCCGCGAAATACAAAAGTTATGGGAAATTTTCCAAAAAATGGTAAAATATTGAAAAGACCCTGTATCTCAGTTGGCAGTGAAGAATCAGATATCAACAGGCGGTTTACGCCATTAAAACGACATCTATGTCGGTTTTGCTCTATCTAGTCAGGAAATAGGTTTTCTCTGTTAAAACAGACCAACTTCGACCACCTTGTACATATTTCATGTATAGGGTGTCCCATTTTTGTTGAAATCATCCGGTATCTCCGTTATTAGTGAAGATAGGAGAGTGCAGTTTGCACAAACCTGTCCCACTGTTGTGTCAAACGGAAGATGCTGTAAACAAAATTTTCATAGCCCTCTTCGTTTCTGAGCTACAGGGTCTTTTTGAGAATTTTGCAATTTGTGACACTTCCCGTATCTCGGTTATTGTGAAAGGTTTCGAAAAGGTGAAAACTGCCTATTGTAGGACTTTTTACGTAGAATACAGTGGCGGTAGTCTGTTATTCTACGAAAAGAGTATTTTTGAAGATACGAACTAAAGTTATGTTTTCTTAAATACAACACCCTGTATATTTATAAATTATATGATCTGACTTGCCATAAGCTTTTCAAAAACATATATCACTCTATATTTATTTTCACTATTTACTGTTATCAGGAACTGATCCCGGGATCGGGTATTTACGTATTTGGGATCAGTTCCAAATTGATCCGTAAAAAATTATCATGTATCAAGTGGAGAATTTCTGGGGAATCTGAACTTTTTTCTCCTCAAATTGGGGATTTTATTTAGATTTTTAGGTAATTTAGGAAATTGACATTGGTCAACTCTTCATTAAATATTTTATACCGTTTCAGAAGTTTTCATTCAAAAACTAACGGAACTTCGTCAGTTGTCACTTGCTTAGACAATGACAATTTGTCGGTTTGTAATGGTTTGTATTTAATTAGATTAAGAGGGGGCGTCTTTGGTTCAATGCCAAAAAACAGCCCCGCAGGAACAAAAATTTCGTGTTGGGTATGTCTTGATTTCCATACCCCACGTACCGATATCGGTACGTGTGTCACTAAGAGACAAACACCCTTTTTGGAAACCGTTTGTACCTTTTATGAAAGGAATTGGTGAAAGTAAAGATATATCGGTGAGGTATTAACTGTGGCGCCATCTATTGCTTTATAGCAAACCCATCCCGTTATACAAAAAGCAGAAATATTTTTATTTAGAGATTCAATGGTAACGTGGTAACATGTATGACTGCTTTAGTAAATACCATTTTAATTTTCTTGTTAGATTATTTTTTTTATTAATTAAAATAAATTTTTATTTTTTATTAGTAGGCCGTGATATTTATCACGGCCTACTAATAAAAAAAGCGTTTCTATGGTAATATTATTCCGATTTCATTCTTTGATAAATTGTTATTGATAGATTTTAATTAACGCCATATTTTTTGGTATTTTAAAATGATAAGGAAGCACAAAATTTATTTAGTTTAATTCTACAGAAAGGGTGAAATAGTTATCGAAAAATGTGATACTTTAACAACAGCAAAAAATATGACGTTAATCAAAATTAATAATAATCATCTGTCAAAATATGAAATTATATTACTATTGAAACGCCTTTTTAATTTTAAGACTTTGAAAACTTGGAAAATTCAACAATATGTATTTTTATGTTTTTTCTAATCTTCTCTTAAAACGGTATGAAAATTAATTATAACGATCTATCAAGGAATGAAATCGAAATTATATTACCATAGAAACGCCTTCTAATTTTTGAAAAATTCAACTACATTTTAAAAGTTTGTTTTACAGCAAATTGGCCCTTATGAAAGTTGTTCATAATAAATAGACAAGCAACTTTTCCTCATGATTTTTTAAAGCTTCATTATTTTTGGAGATAGCGTCCAGTTCATGAACAAATTGGGGAAGTTTCATAATTTTTTGTATTGTTTAGTTTTACAAATTTACCAACTTAAAAAGGTGTTCATATTAAAAGACACATGCAAACTTCCCTATGATATGTATTTATTTCCCCAAAACGGAACATGGAATTCATCAAGTGAATGAATATCCAGGATTTTCTATTTGTGATGGACCTAACGTTAGCTCCTCAGATTGCCCCCCAAATGTTTTTTTTAGAAGAACAGACTACATCCTTTTCTCTGAACGTCCACAATTTCAGCAACATTCAATAATTTCTTGTAAATAACACACGAATCCATTTTCCCAATAGCACTTTGTGAATTTCCTGAAAAAAGAAAGACATTTAAAGCTACCACCATTTTGTGTAGCTCAGAATCTGGGCGCTATTATCAAAAAATTGTCAAGTTACAAAAAAGTTCATAAGGCAAAGGTATATGTACTCTTATTTTGAACGAGTTTCCTAGGGTGAATTTGCTGAAAAAAATCAAACATTGAGAACTACCCTAATTTGTTCATGAACTGGACGCTATCTCCAAAAATAATCAAGCTACAAAAAAATCATGAGGAAAAGTTGCTTTTCATTTATTATCAACAACTTTCATAGAGGTCAATTTGCTGTAAAACAAACTTTTAGAAAACCACCCCAAGGGGAACTCATGAAAGTTCGCCCGGAAATAATAAACTTATAAAAAAAAATTCATTAGGCGAACTTATAGAGAATGTTCTTATGTTTTCAAAAAGTTTGTTTTACAGCAAATTGGCCCGTAGTACAGTTTTCATAATAAATAGACAAAAACTAAAATTTCCTCATGATTTTTTTGTAGCTTCATTTTTTTCAGAAATAGCGTCAGTTCATTAACAAATTGGGGTAGTCCGTATAATTTTTTTTTGTTTAGTTCTACAAATTTACCATTAAATGTTCATATTAAAATTACATGCAAATTTCCCTATGATATGTATTTATTTTCCCCAAAACGAAACATGGGATTCATCAAAAATGAACATTATGATTTTGAACATGTTGTTTACAGCGTCTTCCGTTTGGCAAAAAAGTGGAACAGGTTTGTACAAACCGCATCCTCCTATCTTCACTAATAACGGAGATACCGTATGATTTCAACCAAAATGGAACACCCTGTACTTATATTTTGTAATCAGAAATATCATACGATCGAAAAAAAGACATTTAAAGTTACCACCATTTGTTCGTGATCTGGGCGCTATTTCCAAAGATAGTCAACTTGACAAAAAAGTTCATAAGGCAAAGGTTTATGTACTCTAATTTTGATTTTCTTAAAGGTGCATTTTGAGTATACATTATTGTATAAACCCATTGTTTTTAATTTTCAATATTGTAATCTTATATTGCATGATTGAGAATATTTTAAAATAGAAGAGTGTTATTTCCAAAACATAATTTATTATGAACATATATGATTTCAATAAGTGAAAAAAATAATGCCTTTGAAATAACACTCAAGGGCTCATGAAAAGTCCGGCAAAATAAACTTACTAAAAAAGACCCAATTTCAAAAAACCACTCATTAGATTTTGATGATTTTTCTTTTAAATTGTAAATTATTCCTAAAACGGATGCTACGTCAGAAATTTTTATTCCGACAAAATTTTCCATAGCAAAAAGTTACACAACAATAAGACAGAAGTTTTTGCACACTTTGTAACACCCTGTAACTGCAGCACAGTAGTAGCTATTGCTAAATGATGTGCGGTTTGTAGCCATCATCTTTTTGATGAGCATTTTGCTTTTTTAATCACCACATTATCTCTTTTTCGTATTGGATCTGCTGTTTTAAAACGAACGTCTCGGAAAAATTCACCCTGTAATTCATCTCGGAAAAGGTAGAACAGTTTTATGTGTAAATAATCAAGGCAAAAAATTTCGGATTTATGAGTATTTACAATATGAAGAAAAACGGTTGTCAAACTTTAAAAAATCATCTGTAACAAAATGATTTTCGTGCTCTTTACGAGGCGTTTGTTTTTTACAGGATATCTGAACACAAACAGAGATAATGTCGTGATTAAAACTTACATTTTGTAATCAGAAATATCATACGATCGAAAAAAGGGTGTTAAAGTTGGCTTGGAAATGAAGGTCTGTTATATTTCCAAGCCAACTTGACGCTGTTTTTTTTTCATTCATACTTTGCTTTATTAAAGTAATACATTCTTAAAGGGTAATTTTGAGTATACATTATTGTATAAACCCATTATATGCTAATTTTCAATATTGGAATAAAATATTGCATGACGTAGAATATTTTAAAAAGTAGATTAATTATTTTAAAAAATAATTTATTATCTAACATATATACCTTCAATCCAAGTTTGAAAAAATAATGCCGTTTTTTTAACCTCAAACTATTATTTTCTTTCTTTTTTTAATTTTAATCTACAATTTCTGTGGTATGGGATCACAACTAGTTTAATTTAGATGAAAATAAACGAGAGTATGACTTAAATAAGTAAAAATGAATTTAATATAAAGCAGTGACAGCGTTAGCAAAACAATGGGCCCGACCTAAATTAGTGTTTATAATCAGAAAATAATGTAACTTGTGGAAATTTTCTAAATTAAAGGTTTTGTTACGATGTTCGCAGAGCCCAAGGTCGAGCAGACTTCATCGGAAGCAGACAGTGAGTTGTCCTCACACGCTATCCCATACCACACAGGTTAGTTTATTTTTCTTTAGAAGCTTAGTTGATTTGACAGGAGATTTTGACAATTCGACGGTTTACACGGTCTAAACCAAGAAATCAGTTGCATGAAACTGTTCATGAGTGTTTATACAGGGTGTCCCAGGCTGGGCGTGCACTAGAAGTTCCTAGAGAACCACAATATCTAGATCGGAGATTTTTTGCACATTACTGTGTGTTATTGTACTGTTTATATCTTTTGATATCTAATAGTTGATATTATTAATAATATACCGTATGGTCGAAAAAAAGAACAGCGCAAAGTTGGCTTGGAAATGATGATCGATAACATACTGCTTTTTGAACAAAGTTTCGCAATATCATAGTATAAGGAAACTAGTAGATTTACTCCTAGTCAAATCCTTTGTTCTTTTTCTGCCACTTTATATGACCTTGTTCTCGCCTCCCGTGACCACTGACGTAGCTGTATAGTTGTGGTCTATTAACTAGGCAAAGTATAGTCGTGGCACTCGCCGTAGTTTCACAGATATGTATTTAGAAAAATATGAGTTCCCAATAAAATAAAATAAAATAAATTGATCATCGAGTAAAAACTTGCTTGAAAACAGAATGTTTTCACATTTCGTGTAGGTAACAATTCTTCTGTATCTGAAAATCTTCTGATGGGAAGAAATGCGGAAAATATATATAATGACATATTTTTATATTATTATCTATTTCAGAGATTTTCTACAAATTTTTTTGATTTAAAACAAGTTTAAAAAAAATTTTCTGTAGATAACTGGATTCTATTTAAAGCACACTGCGGTTTACTAAAAAACTTTGGTTAAAAACATTATATATGAAAAGTGGCAAAAAACTAGAGTGAATATAACTTTATTAATACTTAGCTATGTTTTCTTAAACATGACAAGGACACCAGAATAAATTCGTGTAGAAAAATTTACTTTATCGTATACAGGGTATTTTTTATGGCGGCACCAAAATCGTAATATTTAAAATGTTGTATCTCATTTTTTTTAAATGCAACACCTAGTATATTATTTTTCTTTCAGATGTAGAATTAAAAAGTGAATATTTTTTGTATTTAAAGTGTTCTTAAATTTTTAGGCGTTTTGCAAATATTTTCTGTATTTCATTCTGAATTCATTACATTAGGATTTTCAACGATAAAATATTAGACAAAGATCATATTAGGTGGCTTTGATAAAAATTTACTGTTGAAAGAGCTATATGTAATATAATACTGCGAATATCTGCGAAATCGTTAAAAATTTAGAGAAACACTTTAAATAAAAAAATGTTCACTTTTTAATTCTGCATCTGACCGAAAAATAATATACAGAATGTTGCATTTAAAAAAATTTGAGATATACCATTTTAAATATTCCGATTTTGGTGGCGCCATCGCCATAAAAAATACCCTATATAGAATAATGTATATAGAATGATGTAAAATAATTTAAAAAAAATAAAATTAACTTTACCATAACTTTTTTGTGACACCCTGTATATAACAAAATATTTTAGGATAAATCCTTTATAAACCTTGAAACATACGAATAAAACTTTTTTCACATCTTCGACAAGAACTACGATATTGGACTTCCTCGCAATAATGGGCCACCCTGTATATTTACGGTTGTTTAAAGCTAGGTGTGGCACTTTCCTTCCCTCAAATATAAACTCAATATTTTGTCTATAATATTTTGAATATTGTTATATTACGACCACTTATAATAAAAAATAAATAAAATAAAAAAAAACATAAAAAAATACAGTCCACTAAATTTATAATAGATTATGCTATTATAAAATTCTTTCATTTAAAAAATATGAATAATTTGCGGAGACTTTAGATGTACAAAATATTTATACTCTAAAATTGTTTCAAAAACCAATCTATATAAATTATCTCGTAAATTATTATTGGAATGAAAATTTTATGGCAAATCCCCTGACCAAAGAATATTTTCATGCGCACATTTGAGACAACCTGTATATCTAAAAAACTATTTCTAAAATTTGCCCACATGCTAAAAAAAATAATAACATTTAATAATTACATAATATCTCAGCTTCTAAAATAAACAAATATAATTAAACGTTTATTGATAATTACTATCAGCTTGCCGATTTACATCCGATGGAAATCTAAAAAAACTCAAAGAACAATTTTTTGAATTATTACTACAATTAATAGCAGCACACAGTCAGGCACTCATTTTTTGTCAATCCGTCTCTGTGCTGGGACGCAACGCTCGAACCTCGCAGCTCGACGGACGGAATTCAACTGAAACGCTTTGCAAGCTGCCGATATTCGACAGCTTGCAAAAACTGGCAGAAAATATTTGCGAGAGTGCAACTACTCTTTTCCTTAAACTATGGCAATATGACATGGCCAGATCTATTATTTCGCATCACTTGACGTTTAAAGTCATAGGCTACTGGTTAAAATCAAGAAAAATATACGCTTTAAAACTAAATCTCAAATAACGTAAATACAATTTATTTTAGGTATAGGAACATGTATAGTTAAAAAGTTACGAATTGAAAAGCCTTTTCACTAGTAAAATAAAAAAGTGGGTTTCCATTTGAAAAAAATGATTTATGATAGTTTTTTAATCGCTCAATTCCATGACAGCTACGGTCATTATTATATGACATTCGAACAATTTAATTTTTGAAATAGATAGCCACATGTTTCCTCTTTATGGCACAGTGGCTGTGGTAATCACTAAATTTGACGTTTAGGCTATACACATAATATTTTTGACGAGGCAGTTTTTTTTGTCCAAAAATTTTAAATATTTTTTTTTCTCAAAAACGGTTAATGTTAGGTATAGAGCTCGGTATAGAGTGTTTAAGAGATGTTGTAGTTCTCTAGAAACTTTAAATGCGCGCTCAGCCTGTAACACACTGTAGATCTTCCCAATCTTGTGATTATGATAAAAATCTTATATCTTTCAGTAAATTGGGATGGTTAAAATACACAATTAAAGACAGAAATAATCTTAATATAAAATATATTTCTTGAAAAAATCATTCAGTAATCAACATATTATTGGTGGGATATCATAACTGAGTATATTGTTTCATACAACTGATATTATGGTTTAAACTGTGTAAATGGATGAGCTGCCTAACAAGAGGGTAGGTAGAACTGCTTAATTCAAAAATTTGTCCTGCTATGGATTTTTTGAGTAATCTAGAAATTGCTTCAAATATTGTTTTTAAAAAAACAAAAATATCAATTATGCAACATAAAATTTAGCTTTTTACTCTAAATCACGTATGTGCCTATAAAGCTGGACCTAAAATTAACGCATTTTAACCATTTATTTGACATAGAAGTATGTACTTTTGTCTCTAAAATAATGTTGGTTGAATCAGGAAAGATTTTATTAGGTTTGTCATTAGCAATATAATACATTTCTGTAAAACTGTAACCCTGTAATAATAATATTAATACGTGCTTCTTTTAAATATCTACCTTAATGTCTACTGCAATTTTACTTTTTTATACAGGGTGTCCCAGAAATAAGTGCAAGTATTTTAACTGGTAGTATAGTTCAACCCCAGAAATACGCCCATGAGTTTTTTTTGCGAAAAAAAAATTTGGAAAAATCGGAATTTTTTGAAAAATTTTTTGGAATTTTTTTTAGTTTTTATTTAAAATAAATAATTTCTTGATAATATGGCAACATATTTAGGTAGTAAATTAAATTTACAAGCTGATCCAGTGGTTCTCAAAATTTTAGCAAAAAATATTTTTTTTAGGAAATTTTCAAAGTAAAATAACTCCGTTATTTTGGACTTATTTGAAAAACGGTAAAGAGAAAATATGTTTCTTTCATCGAGATCTACCACCCCTTAAAATATTTGCACTTATTTCTAGGACACCCTGTATAGCCAAAAAAGCTAGCTTTTAAGCTTATGCTGTGTTATTACTAATTACAATAGTATATTATTTTATTAAGACTAAAAATTATACTTGCTGGCGAGGCTGCGACATACAGGCGAGGTACAAAATGTCATTTTTACTCCGAATAGAATAATATGCTATTTTTTCAGGCGCCTCAAATAATTTTTAAACGATTTCAGACTTTCTAAATAATATTAAAATATGTAAAAGTCATACCTTGTGTACAAAAGTGGCTCACCCCTATACCTTTTTTTTATTTCTTCAGATAAAAAAAAACGATATTTGGTATGTTAATATATGACATAAATTAGGACTGATTGACGTATTTACTTGTTTTTGGTCACTTCCTATTTCACCGGAAATAACTACTTTTGATTTTTAAATGACACCCTCGGTATTTGTTTTACATTGTTCTGACAGAAAATGATACTGAATAGAATGACATATGTCAACTTTTGACATTTTCGCATATGGTTTATTTGAAATTGTAACATGCGCTTTATAACGACAATTTGATTCGAAATACCAAGTGTGGGATACCAAATTATTCTTAAAAAAATGCTTTTTCAGAGTATGCTAATAAGACACTTTTGTTCCATTTGAAAAAATTGAGATATGTTTAAAAAAACGATTTGGGCATCTTTTAATCGACCAGGATAAGACACGAAAAACATTAGATGATCAAATCTATTTTTCCAAGGCTCCTTGATTAAAAATTAATGTTTTTAACATAGCCATGGCACTCTACTATTTTTTGTAAGCGAAAATGTCAAAAATTAACATATGATACGCCATTCTATTCAGAGAGTGTCATTTTCTGTCGAATAAAAAAAATAAATAAAGTAAAAATGTACCTGCCATTTAAAATCAAAAGTTGTAGTCATTTCCGGTGAAACAGAAAGCGACCAAAAACAATTGTAAACGTCAATCAATCCTAATTTATGTATATATACTAACGTACCAATTTTTTTTTTATTTGGAAAAATAAAAAGTTATAGGGGTGAGCCAAGAACGGTAAACTAATAGGATTGCTCATCCTCATAAGACGTACGTTCGCCTCTTCCCGCGCTTCAGCTGACAGTAGTGACGTCATTGTAGTCCTTGTCATGATAGTGTGTATTATTAGTTGCCTATGGTAAACTTATAAAAATAACAACTGAGAAATTTTGAATTAATTATTTTGTCAATTTTAAATGTGGAAAGGGTGTTTTTAAAGTTTTTAGAGCTATAGAGTGTATAAATACGTTCATTTTGTGTTGTGGATTGTGACAAAGTGCTTACTAAGTGCCTACGATATTGTTTATTAATTATTTTAAAGCAAAATATGGAAGTACTCTAAAAAGAATGCCTGCAAAAGGTAAAGCTGGGAACTGCTGTTCTTAAAAATGCATTATCCGAGTATTTAATACGATTTATACAGTTAATTTTGTATACTGCATACATATAAGGTGTTTAAATAAATAAATTAAATAATGAACGTTTTGCATCCGGCAACCAATAATGCACGTGTGTGTATTATTGGTTGCCGGATAAGGATTAATAACCATGACAAGGACTACAATGACGTCACAAAGCGAGTAGTTTTCGCATGCACCTGGCAGACACTTGGCTGAATGAGCAGTCCTATTAGGTTAACTGTTCTTGGTGGTGAGCCACTTTTGAGGCGCATCGAGAAACTATGGTTACGCCCGTTGAATTTGACACATAATGTCAGTTTAATCAAAACAACACATTCAATTTGGTACAAATGGTACAATTTGACACAAATGTCAGCAAAATCCAACGAAAAATAAGCAAAAATTATAAATGAAACTTTAGAAAATAATTTGGGATTTTTTATGCATATTTAGTACCTATTCTCGTAATGGTTAATTTTTATATTGAAATTTTTCTGTAAGCGTCAAATGAATATGTTGATTAGGCAACTTTGTGTTTGCATTAAAGCTACTGAATATACGGGGTGTTTCTTAAAAAAATTAGGGTGTAATTCCTCATATGTTTTAAAAAAATATATACCGATAAATATGCGGTGTAAATGTACTTCCTTGATGAAACTAGAAGGTTTAGGTATAGGAACATGATATATCGTTGAAAAACAATTTTATTTGGGTTTCGATTTGTTAAATAATATTCATAGGCTTGGATTTAAAATAACAATAATTTTAACGATTTTATAACAATCGGAAATAATTATTTTTTCTGACCTCAATGTTTGATATCCAATCAGTTAATTTAGACAGATCGAATGTGTCGACTTTCCTTAACCTATAAACCAAATTTTAGCTTTAAATATGCCGAATTTATCATTTAACTAATGCTTATTCAAGATCAATTTTACGCATGTTTTATTTTTTATCTCGAAAATTATAAGAGATAGGTTAGTTGGTTATGGTTGATAAGAACTGTCTAAAATGACAGCTCGATTGGCTCTGCTTACATTACGGCACAATTTGCCAGTACATTAGGTGTGACCGCAGACCGCAGTCGCTGAATGCTGCGACCACTGGATAGTTTTTTTTAATTTTACAAAACACAAAAAAGTCATTATTCACTCACCGGCAAAAACACCGGCCACTAAAAACTAGTCCCAATTTCAAAGTTGGATTTCTCGCAAACTCTACAGGGCACAACAATAAGACGAAGTTTTTTGCCCGTATTTGCATTGTAGCCTCATCTTTTGTGAGCATTTTGTTTATTTAATCACCACATTATCTCTTTTTGTATTGGAGATATGCTGCTTTAAAACGAACGTCGCGGAAAAATGCTTCGCAGGCAAAACCGCGATTCATCCGGAAAAAGGACTTGAGTCCATTGCTCCATATCCAAATTCACTCGACGATGTCTTAGAAGTAGCTGGTATCCTGTGGCAGGCCTCCTTGCAGACAAGCTGTTTTCTTTTAGTCTTCGTCGGATTGTTCTCTCACTGACTTGAGTTCTACGCACGGCTTGTAGCAGATGTTGATTCTGAAACGCTGTAATTCTCCGATTTCGTAAAGTATTCAGGCCAATAAAGCGGTTGTCAATTGCATTTGTCTTCCGTTTTCTTCTGGAACCCACTCGACTGATGAAATTTCTCGTTTCCATATACCGATTCCAGGCATCCTGGACTGTTGTTCGAGGTATATCCAGGGTATCGCACACATAACGTTGACTTCGGCCATCCCCAATTAAAGCCACAATACGAGCAACATCCGTCACAGATAATGGCATTTTTTAATTTGACAACCCTTGATTATTTTTTTTTTATTTTTGCCTTGATTATTTACACATAAAACTTTCTGCCTGAGAAGCATTTTTCCGAGACGTTCGTTTTAAACCAGCGTATCTCCAATACAAACAGAGATAATGTCGTGATTAAAAAAACAAAATGCTCACAAAAGATGAAGCTACAATGTGATGTGCTTTAGCAATAGCTACTACAGCTGCTGCACCCTACAGGGTGTTACAAAGTTCGGGCAAAAAACTTCGTTTTATTGTTGTGCCCTGTATAGGCTCAAAATAAATTCGGAATAAACATTTCTGACGTAGCATCCGTTAAGAAGGAATTAATTTACAATTTAAAAAAAACTCATCAAAATCTAATGAGTGGTTTGCGAGAAATCCAACTTCGAAATAGGGACTAGTTTTTAGTGGCCGGTTTTTTTGCCGGTGAGTTTATGATCAAATAGAAAGCCTCTCCCACGCTGGCAGCATCCGGCTGCATAGGGCCTGGTTACCCCCGTGACAACGTGAAAAAAGAGTTGTCCTTTAAATATATTTTCTCACGGCACTTCAAAGTAAGCCAACTTTAAAAATTGTTCACAAAAATATGTGACACGAATTTATTTTAAACACTTGCACCAAAAAAATATTAGACTTTTACAAAACGATTACAAGAATATTAACGGAAAAAAGGAAACAAATACCGACCCCGAACAATCAGCCGTCAGACAGTATTCGATGTTGCCACGACTACTGACGAAGCGAAGTCCTGGTATAGGTTAGTATAATAGAAAAATTTTGAAACGTGGAAGTAGTTTCGGAAAGTATAAGAATATCCTGGTGTTCCATTTAAAATAACAAAGATGATACACTTTTAGTATGAAGTCGCAACACTGTAATGCTGAAAATAATTTAGACAGATGGAGCAAGTGCCCTTATGCAAAAATCCTACCACGGGTTCTCCATAGACGTGTAACTTGCCATGCATGACCGTGAATCACCCTATAGTGCCTACACTTGACAAAAAAAGTTATCTCTACTAATATATAAAATCCTTAAGTGACTGACATACTGATTAATCACGATCCTGTTCAAACCACTCAACGTAAGAAGCTCAATTTTGGCATACAGGTTGATTTTAGGGTGTAGAGGTTCGATAAGAACGGATTTTTCGAAATTCAAGTTCCAAGAGAGTGAAACCACCCCTCAAATATTACAATATTTTTTATTTAAAAAACGATCAAGTTTCCGAAAAAACGCTTAAACACGTATATTTTTTTTTTGGTTTTTTACATATTTTAAGATTCTTTAAAAATGTATACAGGGTGTTTCGAAAAATCTGGTCATTGATTAATCACGGTCCTGCTTAAAGCGCTTGACGTAAAAAGCTGATTTTTGGAAAACAAATTGACTTTAGGGTGTAAAGGTTCGATAAGAAGGGATTTTTCGAAACTCGAATTCTAAGGGGGTGAAACTATCCCTCAAATATTAAAATATTTTTTATTTAAAAACCGGTGAGTTTTTCGGAAAAACACGTATATTTTATTTAGTTGTTTTACATATTTTAAAATTTTTTATAAATTTATACAGGGTGTTTCATAAAATATGACCATGGAGTAATCACGATTCTGCTTAAACTGCTTGACGTTTAAAGCTGATTTTTGGCAAACGGATTGACTGTGGGGTGTAGAGGTTCGATAAGGAGGAATTTCTCGAATCTCAAATTCCAAGGGGGTGAAAACGCCCCCTAAATATTACAATATTTGTTATTTAAAAAACGGTTAGTCTTTCGGGAAAACGTTTGGACAAGCATTATTTATTTGTTTTTTTTACATATTTAGAAATTTTTTAAAAAATCATACAGGGTGTTCCAAAAAGATGGGTAATTTCTTAACCACGATTCTGCTTAAACTGCTTGACGTAAAAAACTTATTTTTGGCAAACGGATTTTTCGAAAGTCAAATTCCAAAGAGATGAAACTACCCCTCAAATATTACCAAGTTATATAATAATATCGCCATATTGTTTTTTCTCATGCTGACATAAATGGGAGAAAAATTTATCCAGTTTGTATGTTAATGGAAATTCTTGCTGTGCTTTATCATCACCATTACAAATGATTAATTTGACGCGAACGAAGTCGCTGTTATACATAAAATGCAATCTGACTGCACACTTCCACATCTGTCCACACCACGTATATTAAGGTATCTGAATGTCGTTTTTGGTTTCAGTGTTACCAGCCACAGCTATACAAATATCGAGCGGGGAAGGTGGACAGGGCATCCATACCCTTACGATGACAAATGCCACAGCGGGTGGCGCAATTGTACAGTACTCTCCAGGACAGGAATTCTTTGTGCCTGGTATGTTAATTAAATATTATAAGATAACCGTCACTAAACGAAAATGCTTAATGTATGTTTTATGTGAAAAGCCACTGGGTTCAGAATACACATTCGCAAATTTCTCACTGGCTCTTTACTTAAACACAAACTTGCCTAACCAACATAACGATTACGTCACATTTAACTTATCAAAAAATAAACTCACCGGCAAAAAAACCGGCTACTAAAAACTAGTCCTAATTTCAAAGTTGGATTTTTTTCTTTAAATTGTAAATTAATTCCTTCTTAGCGGATGCTACGTCAGAAATTTTTATTCCGAATTTATTTTGAGCATACAGGGTACAACAATAAAACAAAGTTTTTTGCCCGAACTTTGTAACACGCTGTAGGGTGCAGCAGTTGTAGTAGCTATTGCTAAATCCAATCACATTGTGCCCTCATCTTTGTGAGCATTTTTGTTTTTAATCACGACATTATCTCTGTTTGTATTGGAGATACGCTGCTTTAAAACGAACGTCTCGGAAAAATGCTTCGCAGGCAGAAAGTTTTATGTGTAAGTAATCAAGGCAACGGTTGTCAAATTAAAAAATGCCATTATCTGTGACGAATGTTGCTCGTATTGTGGCTTTAATTGAGGATGGCCGAAGTCAACGTTATGTGTCCGATACCCTGGGTATACCTCGAACAACAGTCCAGGATGCCTGGAATCGGTATACGGAAACGGGAAATTTCACCAGTCGAGTGGGTTCCAGAAGAAAACGGAAGACAAATGCAATTGACGACCGCTTTATTGTCCTGAATACTTTACGAAATCGTAAAATTACAGCGTTTCAGAACCAACATCTGCTACAAGCCGTGCGAAGAACTGAAGTCAGCTTGTCTGCAAGGAGACCTGCCACAGGACCGAGATATAGTCGAGCACGTCTTCAGTTTGCGCGTTTAAGTGTGAATTGGGATATTGAGCAATGGACTAAAGTCCTTTTCACGGATGAATCGCGGTTTTGCCTGCGAAGCATTTTTCCGAGACGTTCGTTTTAAAGCAGCGTATCTCCAATACAAACAGAGATAATGTCGTGATTAAAAAAACAAAATGCTCACAAAAGATGAGGCTACAATGTTATTTAATTTAGCAATAGCTACTACAGCTGCTGCACCCTACAGGGTGTTACAAAGTTCGGACAAAAAACTTCGTCTTATTGTTGTGCCCTGTATATGCTCAAAATAAATTCGGAATAAAAATTGCTGACGTAGCATCCGTTAAGAAGAAATTAATTTACAATTTAAAAAAAAATCTTCAAAATCTAATGAGCGGTTCGCGAGAAATCCAACTTTGATATTGGGTCTAGTTTTTAGGGGCCGGTTTTTTTTGCCGGTGAGTGTATATTGGGGTGGGCATTTCTGGCATTGGGTGCCGATTTTCGTGTGTACGAAGGGTACGGTCAACACGCTTAGTAAAATAAGATGTACTGAATAAAGACAGAAGAGCAAGTATTTCCTAAGCGCATGAATTCTTCGCATTTTTGCTCTCTCCGACTTCCTAGATTGTCATAGCGATTCACTCCTATACATGTAAACGCCGACTAGTGGCGTAGCTAGGTAACCAAGGGCCCTGGGCAAATTAAAAAATGGGGCCCCACTGGTATGTAAACTGATTAGGTTTTATCAAATAAAAATATGAAATATACAAATACTTTAAAAATGCTAAGCTACTTAAGCTCTTTTTTGTGCACTGCAGGGCAGGTAATAAAAATATTAACAACATAAATTACAATTAATACTTGGTGTAGGTTTGGCTAATAAAACGAAATATAGAGAAGATTCAAGGGCTTATTATTATATAAAGGTCGGGCCTACCAACTGACTAAATAACAATTATATTTACAATTTTTTCCTAGCTTTAGTTTTCACAAAAGTATCAATGACTTCGTTTAAATCCAGGCTTGATGCGGTTTTGTTTTCAATTGCTATTAGCGATAAATAATTTCGGAGTCGAGTTTGGCCCATATTATTTCTTAAATAATTTTTTATTATTTTTAATTTGCTAAATGACCTTTCAGCTGCTGCAGAAGTGACAGGAATTGTAAAGAATAATAACATTGCTGTAAATACTTCAGTTAGGTCGCATTCTAGCACTCCATATTTGCTCATTATTTCCTTACATAATTGGTGAACAGTCCATGCTTCAGTTAGTTGAGGTAAAACTAGGTGGTAAAAATTAGTAAATTGAAGTGAAAAACTAGGGCCTATTATATCTGAATATTTTCTTTGGAATTCGTCATACTTTTGTAATAAAGTTGCTTCATCAAGATGTAATAAAAATGTTGGTGTTAGAAAAGCGAATATATGACAGACTGGCACTTATGCCAATAAAACGTGTATCTAATTGAGATATTACTGTGTCTAGTACATTATTGAAAATCTCAATTTTAAATATTTTTTCTCAGTTTGGAAACCAGTGATCAGCAGCTAATTCATCAAATGTTTTTAAATTTATCTTTGCCTTTTTTCTTGCAAATGGGTATCAATACCATATTTTTTTGCAGTTTCACTGGCTTTGCAACCGTTCTCGAAAAAAAATCTTAACTCGAATTCACGATAAAACGCATATCGATGAATAATAAAACGCACATATTACTATCCGTCAAATTGACAACACTGCCAACCTACAGAAAGAATTTAGGGGAATTCCCTAGGCATAACTTTTGAATTTCTCTCAACTGAGTTGTCATGATTAAAGTGGGATTGCAACCTCATATTTATTTTGAAAATTGGAGAAATTTCCAAAAGTTCAGTTCGATCGGGATATTTGGTAAGGATTCGAGGGCCCCCTGAGCTTGAGGGCCCCGGGGCACTGCCCCGCCTAGCCCCTAGGTAGCTACGCCACTGACGCCGACCCAAAGTTTCGCTTGCCAGGATGGTATTTCCTCACGGTACACATAACCAGTTTGTTCTAGAGTAAACTATGTGTGAAGTCACGTGCATTAAGCTTGATTTTCATGCATCCGTTGTCCGACGATACGTTGATACGATATTAATTTTATTGGTAGAATTTAAAGACTTTGATTGGTTAGAAAATAACACAGTTTTTAAATTTATTGCATTTCCATGCCTCCGTTTATCGGATATACGTTGGTGTTATTTTATATTTTTGTTTCCATAACGATTTTGCTATTTTACTTATATTTTTATTAATATTGTCAAAAAAGTGTCAAAATGTCCGTTATCGTATGAACGGGTCCGTTGACGGGCTGAAGTACAATATTTACGGATGAAAAGTGGCGCGAAAACGCTATGACCAATCAGAGCACCGTCGGACCATCGTATCAACGTATAACGGATGCATGAAAATCAAGCTTTACACTGCATATGAACTGCAACCAATTTGGCATTGTGAATTTACGCATACATATATTCAGCATAGTATTATCGCCATAGACAAGGGTATTATCAATGTTTGCAGAATTAAAGTATTCTGTAAACTTTTGTACTATGGTGATATAGTTTTCAATGTAATAGATAAGTTTAACCCTTAACGAAGTTTTTTTGTACCAACTCCTAGTTTATGACGAATCGTTTTTGGACGTTCTTGGATAAAATAAAAATTAGATTTTTATTCTCGAGACATTAAATTTTGGGATTGGCGTGCACACACGACTGATTAAGAAATCGCCACTGGTAGGCTGGTATGGTATTTCCAAATCCAAAGACAATTGAAAATACTGGGACTCTTAATTCGTTTGTGTAGACGATGCCGACAGAGTATTCAGGTAATTCTGACAGAGTATTCAGTATTCCAATTGAATTCGGAAAAACTATACGTAGCATACTAATTTTATGTGTATCGTGCATCTCATATCCGTATATCGTATTTTAACAGATCAGTCGATACAATTCTCTGTTAATAAAATTATTGAAAACAACGTAAATTTTTTGCCGCATATCTTTACTAATCAAACACTCATTTAGTTGTAGCCCAAGGAGGCAACCTCAGTTCGGGCGGCAACGAAGACCAAGCGAGGAAGCGCGAAATGCGACTGCTCAAGAACAGAGAGGCGGCCAGGGAGTGCCGGCGAAAGAAGAAAGAGTACATCAAGTGTCTGGAGAACAGGGTGGCGGTGTTGGAGAACCAAAACAAGGCGCTCATCGACGAATTGAAAACGTTGAAAGAGCTGTACTGTCAGCAGAAAACGGAATGAGGGTGTCGATTCTTCGTTCATTTTTTTAAATCGGTGACGGACGTCTTAAACGTCGGCGGGATGTTTACCAGGTTGTATGGATTAACAGTAATGTAGATCTAAAAAAAAACGAAAGATATCGGTGCAATTTTTTATCGAAGATAGATAGGCGAGATCTTGACGTCTTCAATTTTTATAGAAAATTATGACACATTAAATTGAGCCCAAGCATGGAACAGAACATCTAAAAACCCTTTAAACTGTTTAAAATTATTATAAAAAAAAATGTTGATTCGTGTATTTTTACTAAAACTTTATCCTTGGAGACGATTGAATGTTCTGTTGCGTATTTGGGCATATCTTTAGTCACGTAAGGAGATTGGATACTAATGGTTTCATTGACTTCTCAGTTGTTGAAACTTTAAAACTTTTTATAAAACTTGTCTTGAGAAACTAACTTTTGGATTTTATAAATACGAAGAAAAATGTTGAACCTACAAAGAAAGTAGGATTTTTTTGGCTTTGTATTCAATGTAATCAGAAAGTTTTATGATCAAGCGTGCTTTTTAGGATGACAGATAAAAATCTTATGTGAGATTTTATTAAAAACGCCTTGAACATATAACTTTTTGATTGCACGGTATTTAGTACTATACATAGTACTGATAGATTTAATTTCACTTAAGTGATCTAAATCAGTCTATTTTGCATTCAGATGGGTTATAGGTGCTTTCAGAGTAGCAATTCTTAAAATTTTAAGAATAAATGCAAAAAAATATGAACTTTCATAGAAAAAAAAATTAAATAGTTTGATAAACTTGGAATTAATTCGTTTTTTGATATGTTTTCGATGAAGTTCCAACTGAAATATGCTTTACCGCCAATTAATGACAGTTGACGGTACTTCTTGGTTTAAAAACGAAACATTTTTTCCATTTGAAAATGTACTGTTATTTGTTTTATTTGATAAACTAACAGTTAATTTATTTATTTTTCCATAGCAACTGTTAAAATTGCCTTATATCTATCAAAAATAGTAGATAAAATAGTACTTTAACCGCAAGGGTAGGTTAAATGATACTTTAACAGTGAGGATAAGTTAAAAACTTTATTTCTTCTCGCACGTTTTTTAATTGCTGCCATTTCTGAAAAATTTTGAATTCCTTTTCATAAGTTATTCGGGATTTAAATGGAAGTAGTTTGGATATGGCGATTGTCGCCTCAGCCTGAATATCTGTTGGGAATTTACTTATTTCGTTTTGAGCCATTTCTGGCTCCAATTCAATCAGAAATCGACACGAAAGAGAATTAAAAAATATTGACTCAAAACTGACAACAAAAGAGACAGCTTTATTTATTTGTCAAATTACATAGAAACGAACGCCAACACAGCACAATATTTTTTCTACTCGTAATAAATTCTTTGAAATAATAATTTCTGGATATTTTTTAAAACGTAACTGCGAAAAAAAATATTGTTTTATACATGACGATAAAATTGCATTATCGTCTTCCGAAATTAATTGTATTAATCTTTTCGGTCAACGATAAAATACCATTTTATCGTCTTGTATAAAAAATAACTATTTCTGAAGTGTTAAAGTAAACAGTAATATTGTGTTGAAAAGGAATATAATACTATAGTTTGTTCAACAGGAAGATCCCTGACAGTGACACGCACTTGTGTGTCTGTCAATTTAATTCCCAGGCAAATTGTCATTTTTTTGTCTGTCGAAATCTTTCTTGGCTCGTCAGACAAACTTTAATGAAAACTAGTGCAGAATAAAAAAAATAATTTAACATTAAACTAATTATTAAATAATTATTTAATTAAAAAAAAATGAATTTGATGTACAGGGTGGTCGAAATTGGTCTGTTTTAACAGAGAAGACCTATTTCCTGACTAGATAGAGCGAAACCGACATAGATGTCATGGGCTCGATTTCTGAGAAACGTTTAATGGCCTAAACCGCCTGTTCATATTTTCACTGCCAACCGAGAACCGACGGAGTCTTTTTGAATTTTTTACCATTTGGAAAATTGCCCATAACTTTTGTATTTCCCGGAATAATAAAATTCTGTAAAAACGTTCTTAAGGCACTTTTTTAAGCACAATCCAGTGGCGTAGTCAGTTTTTTTCTGTACTTGCTTTTTTAGTCAGAAATAATAAAAAATATAATTTTTTAAAGGGAAATCATAGTTGACTATGAACTTAAAAAAATGCTGGCGTTTAACCCTTTCCAACGATATAAAGTTATGTGTATTTATTTCTAAAAATGAGAGAATATTACGTTTTTTATCTTTGTATCCAAGCGGGCCTTGATTTTGTGTTGACCTATAGTTGCCTAATTATTTTTTATCGCAATTTAATATTCTATATCATTATTTATCTGCATAATTAAAGACTTTTGAAAAGGTAAATCAACATCCTATATTAGTATTACTATTTACAATTAAAAAGCCAGGGTTACAACTGCACTATTAAATGGAGAATTTATAGAGAATTGGATTGGAACAAGGGATCCCATATCTTGGCCTGCTAGGTCCTGTGAAGTAACTCCTTTTGAATTTTTTAATGGGGGAAATTAAAATACCTTATACAGGGTTGTTCACCACATACGACTCGGAGTATTGTAGCTAAATGATTAGATTTTTACAAATTGTAAGTTTTGGGTTCACAATTTGTAAAAAATTAATCGTTTAGCTACAATACTCCGTGTCGTATGTAGTGAACAACCCTGTATATAAGGGAAGAACCATTGGGACGAGAGAAGAAGTACAGAAGGCTACTAGGCAAGCTTTTGGACTTATTACACCAGTTCGCATAATAAATTGTTGTAACTCTGTGCGTAAAAGATGTTTATTGTGTATTCAACAAGGGGGTGCTCAGTTTGAACATCTTTGATGATTTTTTTTAGAAAACTATATTCGTCACTCAAAAAATACTTTTTTTAGTTCTATTTTTTGTTTATTACATCGATTTCAATTGTAATTACTAATACTAATATAGAATGTTAATTTACCTTTTCAAAAATCCTTAATTATGCAGATAAATAATAATATAGAATACTGAATTGTGATAAAAAATAATTAGGCAAATAGGTCAACACAAAATCAAGGCCCGCTTCGATATAAAGATCAAAAACCTAGTATTTCTCTCATTCTTAGAAATAGATGTCCATAACTTTAGATCATTGGAAAGGGTAAAACGCCAGCATTTTTTAAGTTCATAGCCAACTATGATTACCATTTAAAATTTATATTTTTTATTATTTCTGACAAAAAGAGCAAGCATAGAAAAAAAACTGACTACGCCACTGGATGGACCCTAAAAAAGTGCCTTAATAACGTTTTTACAGAATTTTATTATTCCGCAACATAAAAAAGTTATGGGCAATTTTCCAAATGGTAAAAAAATCAAAAAGACCCCGTATCTCGGTTGGCAGTGAAAATATCAATAGGCGGTTTACGCCATTAAACGTTTCTCAGAAATCGAGCTCATGACATCTATGTCGGTTTTGCTCTATCTAGTCAGGAAATAGGTTTTCCCTGTTAAAACAGACCAATTTCGACCACCCTGTATAGATGTCAACCTAACCTAACACTTCTCAATTCATACTTTTTGTATTAAGCTCCAAAAGCACTTTCCAACGCAGTCAAATTTATATTAGTTTTGTCATTTGATTCCTACTACACAATATCTTGGCGTTATTTCATTTTTAATTGACTTTTTTCCGAAACACTTTAGTTTTAGTTGGTGTTTATTACCGAAATCCTATTTTTATTTTTTTATTTTTAAATAATGAAAAACAATTTTTTGTATATAGTGTGGTTTAATTTCTAGACTTACTTTTTACTATTAAAAAAATATTCCTTTTTATATTAATGAGTAACGCCAATTAACAGAGTAATACTTATATCTGAATGTTTAAAAGACTGCATCTTGTTTAAAAAATTAACTATAAAAATATTTTATCGCCTTGATTGTTTTTTTCTTAATTTAGTATACCAAATAAAAGGCTTGTGACAATGTAAATAGTTTTAAATTTTGTTAAGGAAGATCTGCCTAGTTCGTAAACTAGACGGTTTTGATTAAAGCAGTTTTTGTATTTGATAACGAAAATTTTACTTTTGGAAAAAAACTGGGCAAGATTTTTGTTAGTCAGGACCTGTTAATGAGTGCCTTGTTTTTAGATACGAGTATAAATTGACTTCCTAGCGCTACATAAATTTTAAGTCTTTTGTTAAAATTGGTTTTCTTGTGCCATATACAAGGTGTACCAAAAACTTAGCAGCGAAGGGATATTTAGTTGTTGAGGTTTTAAAAATGGTTATGCTGATTTTTTTCAGCATAATAGTAAAAAATACGACACCTGCAAAGCCGGCAAATATCACAAAATCAAAAGGAAAAGTTGTTCAGAATTTGATTTTATCATTGTTACAGAACACTAAAAAAATACTGTATTAGAAATTATTCTTGTTGGTGGTTGTTCGCTTTCTTTTGTTCGTGTTTTCCCTGTATACAGGGTGTCATTGAAATGGTATAAAAAAATCGGGGGGTGATAGTACTCCTAAAAATAGTAAAAAAAGTTCTTATAAGTATAGGATGGAAAATGCATATTAAGGGAGTTATAGTCTGTCCAACGAGAAGATCCTTGACAGTGATAGATGTGTCTGTCATTTTAATTTCAAAGTAGTTTATTTTATTTTACAAAGAAATAAGTTGGTACAACTGGAACGCATAGCCGGAAATATTTAAAATTTGATTGACAAGATGACATGTGATTACTTCAAAATATAACTGTAATAACTATAAAAAAAACTGTATAAAACTGAAAAAATGTTATCGAGTTATTTTATTTAATAAAAACGGTATGTGTTAATACAAAACAAACAAGAACAAGACACTACATACCAAAAAAATATAAAAAAGAACTATTATTTACTTTCAAGCTTTATGAAACTACCCGTATTTATGATTATATTTATCAATATAACTTATGTACAAATACAAATTTGTAATATTCCACAGGAATAAATAAAACAACATAGGTAAATAAAACAAACTATTTTATTAATAATAACACCTACCAAATTTTATACCTTAAAGGTTGATTAATTAACTTTAATCTTAATTTTTTAAACCAGTACCTTTTGACATTATTTTTCTGCAGTACTAAAATCCATTATTTACCTATCGTGTGATGTCGATATTTTACAGCTACTCCAGTTTTTAGTATGTGTTTAGTTTGATCCTTCTACCATATACGAGATGGGCACTTATCTACGACGAAATGGTATACAAACTTTATCGATGGCAACTTCATTGGTGTATAAGACTTTCTGCCTGGGCAGCGAATATTAACCATAAACTGTGCTCTGGGTCTACAGTTAATTTTCACTCGATTTTTCCTCCACTTGACTTCAAAAGACACAAAACACACGTAATAACACGAATCAAAATGCATCATCTTCCAAAACGCAGGGTATTTAACAAAAGTTGACACAAAATTATAACCTATAATTTGGCAAGACTTTGACAAGCGTCAAAAATGACAAAAATCTAAAGGCGAGTTCATACGCATCGGCGTCCGTTTGTCGTTCATCGTTCCGTCAAACCAATAAAATTGAAATACGATCAGTCTTTTTTTTAATAAACCAATAAAACTGGTTAAAAACAACAAGACACGACGCATGACGGATTTATATTTAAACCCATCCATAGATAACTTAAAAATTATTAGAAACTTTTTTTAGTAAAATAAATAGATTGGTATGGGACGTCATCTGCTTTTCTTCT